TTTCCTTGATCCTTTCATTAACTTATAGTACCTTCAGTGGTGAATTAATTGTACTAGGGGCCCAGGGCTGTCGCTTAATTGGATCATGTATGAGAAAATGCACAGATTTGTGTTTTTTGTTGAATCTTAAGCAGTTATATACTTGGAAAATTTTTCATATGATGGTGGCAGATAATATCAAATAAATGCTTTCCAGGGAAGGTACATTCATATAATAAGCAATAAAAAGGCTGCCATTGCTGATGAGTTTCTGAAAAAAAATGTAAAAACTTGCAAACCTAAAGACTACCATGATATAGACCAAGTATAGAACTTGTCTAGCATTGTCATGAGCCCCCCTGGAGTCTGGGGCATTGGGTAGCCACCTGTTTTGCCCTTATTATAATCCACTATTGCTTACCTATTTATGTAACTGCCGGGGAAAAACATCAAAAATATAATTGCTAAAAATAACACAACCCCTCCAATAAACATGTTATCAAGCTGGAAAACAAAATCTGCATATAGTGGGTTGTCCAAATGTAGTGGATATCAGTAATAATCACAGCATCCAGTTCAAGCTGGATCTTTTTAATGCTCGTGTCTAATTAGGAACATGCAGGATATATTCTTTTTTGCTTTGAAGTTGATTAAATTAAAACAATAGGATGATGATATACTACTAAGGCAGTACTTGCTTTTCAGTATTTTCAGTATGGGCTGTTCTTTGGGAATTCAAAAAATTGCATTCATTATGGTATAGTTACACAATTTTAACAGTCATAGAAACCTTTTGTGTGTATTCCCTCACAAAGGACAACAAGGATCTCGGGGCAATCAGGGACCTCCAGGAAAGATTGGTCCACCAGGAGTAAAAGGTGACAAAGGTTCCATTGGACAAAAAGGAGAACAAGGTGTAAGTGCGACATCAGGTAAGATGGGTAATAATGGGTAAGATCACTTTATCCTATATAATTTTCAGTCTATTAACAGTGTTTAACAAATAAATTCTCCTTATGAAGTAATTTAGGTAACTGATGGAATAACTGGCTTCTAAAGTCACTTCATGTATGTTTTATGATTTACACAATACGCAATAACTCAAATATCAGTTTGAGATTTTAAAGGATGTATGATATTAAAGTAAACCTTTTCTTTGCACAGTATATAAACATATGTGTACCTTCACAATCCATGCTATCAGCTGTTGCAAAAGCACTCCATTCCTTAAAGCATGCAGTTCAAACATGCAAAACAGTGTTGTTACTGATAAGCATACAGTATATTGACTTCCACAAATATTAGCTGCTACATTACGTTATATCTCCACTTAGACTTAATTAGGGATAAGGTATGTATTTGCATCAACCATAGTTTTGAAATGAATTTGCCAGATTTGAATAAATAAAATAAATGTTACAACTCCCCCCCAAATTCACAGTGACAGGTAGGCCTAAAAGCAGATGTAAAGGTGCTATGAATGGGTGCTGTTCTTTGTTCACAACACACTGCTGCTTTGCTGTGCAGTAAATAGTGTGCAACAAAAGCACCTTTCCTTATTGAGGAGGACAACCCTCACTCATCAACTTGCTCCTTTGGTGGTCTGCTTTATTCCAAATTAGCTCATAGTTTTGGGATTTGTCCTATCATTTCCACTTTCTGGGACCAAGTTGTGAATTACACTTTTGGGGTGACAAACATAACTATCCCAAAAGAACCCATTTTTTTTTATTTTTGGTTACAGCAAGGCCCCATCATTCCATTAAGTTCTTGCAACCAGCTTCCCCAGTGGCTCCATCTTTGTTTACTGATGGCTTGCAGAGTGATTCTCGAAACATGAACCACCTTTGTCTCCCCAACTGTTACAACTATAAAGAAAGAGCTGACAATTCTGATGTATAAAGTAAAATTAGATGCCATAGTACAGAATTCTGGACCCACCAAGTGCTTCTTTGACAGATGGAAGCTTTTCATGGAAAGTACACTGTCCACTTCAGAGTTATCTTGGATCATGACATCACCCAAATACACAAAATGGTATACCAAGGCAGACTCCACTAGTTCCCATGGTAGACTGAAAATCTAGTTATGACATCATTTACTTAATGTGTTTATAATTTTCTGATTTTGATTCTGAGTTTTTTCGTGCTTTTCCTGTGAGCTATTATTTTTTTGATGTTCTTTTTGTCCATGCTTTATTACGGATTCCTCTTAGCCCTATCTGTGTTTTTCCATACATAATCTGGAAGAGTAACGCTCTTTTTCTGTACCTTCATCATTACCGGTTTAGTTCCTAGTAAAGGGCAACTTACCCCATGGGTAACTAGTACATGTGTTGAGAATCTGCATTCTGCCTAATTTCTATTCCCATGACTGAAGACACCATGTTGACATCAATCCTGTGTTACTGTATGTATGTTCATGTTCATTGGTAACCTTCAATGCTATGCTTTGTATTGTTTATTTGCAAAAGCTAATAAACATTTTAATTAAAACCACCAAAAGATACCGCCCCACACCCCCCACCCCCCCCCCCACACACACACACACACACACACACACAATATAGTTTACATACAAGCTAGACAATCACCCACTAAAACAAAATGAAAGGAGAATTTCCACATATGATGATAATAAAGGGAGAGCAGGCCCTACGAGATAAAGTGGTGGTTAGGCTACATACAAAGTGACCAACAAATTCAGCCACAGCAGGTAAAAAGAAGTAATTCTGCATTAGGGCCTGTCCCCCTTCATCCATAATTTGCCATGCTGCTGGGCAGTTTCTACCAAGCCCTCCCTTTTTACCCTTTAAAATGGTGCAGTGGGTCATTATGCTATTACTGATCAAAGTAAGCTTAATACTGCTGCTGTAAACAGTTGTTGCTGCTAAAAAACCACCTAAAAAAAGCTTTGTTAATGAATGATTCATATAATAGTGGATTGGGGTGCTGATGAAAAAAATGTAATCCCACAGCCAAAATTATGCTGCCAGAGTACACAATTGCTGAAAATCATCTTATTTCATAACACCACGTACAGCTTTAAGGCATTACTTAAACCTGTATTTAAATGAATTATTATATTTTCCATGTCATCCTCAAAGCCATATAAAAAAGGTACTTCCCTTACAGTTTTTTTTGCATTGGTACAGGTCCTACACAACATTGGTTGGCTCCCCACAAGGGGCCACCATTTCTCACTAAAATTTGGCTCTAACTGACAACAGGGTTTACAGCAGAATTTTCAGTTTGCAATTTTTATGTGCATTCCCCAAACCCTTGGTGAACTGAACCAAAGGGGATTCACTCATCCCTTTCCCATTAATAGGAAAAATATTACCATAAAAGGCATGTGGAGCTGCACACTGTCATGGGATATTTTAACAAAGCAATTCTCCTTTTAATGCAACTGTGAGTTCAATATGGAAAATCACCAATCCTTTAAATTACATGCCTTACTGCTGTATGTGGTGTTATAGAACAGTAAGATAAATGGCAGCTGGGAATCCAGCTTTTATTGAGGGACTGGTACAAAGCCAAGCCCCCAGTTTGGCCAATTTAAGTCAGCTGACCTAAGTTTAAAGTTCATAATTAGTTGATTGCTATGGTGATATACAAGTTAGGTGGGTTCATAAATAAGTTGGTGCATAAGTTAGGTGGGTTACAAACGTCGAACAGGTTGAGTTTGCCTCAAAACCATGTTAGACCAGAACTAATTGCGACTGAACATGTATCAAGCTTAAATCTCTGAATGATAGCTGTAAATGCATTTAACAGTTATTAATGTTGGCCTTTCTAATTAGAGGTTGATACTGTCAAGGACCAGTTGAAAGTGTTTGAACGAGAGCTACATCTGCTTCAAGCAAGCCTTAATAAATATAATAAAAGTAAGTAATAACTAGCTAGTAGTAAGTTTAAAATTTATGGGAGCAATTTACTTTGATTACTTTTTCTCTTGATCTAAGCAGGAAAATAAATCCTTGCTTTCCAGTGCAGCAGCCTAATAGTATATCCACAATGCTCGCACTAAGTTCTGCCCACACACTCAGTAAATAAAATATCAATGTGAGAAAAGTAGTTAAGCACATATGTATCCATGTATCTCCTGCAGCAAAAGCTAACCGATGCTCAAAGAAGTGGATTCCATTGGAATATATAGATTTCAGATCAGAATAAAAACATAGGTATCAATCCAATATTACAAGTCTATCATCTTGGTAACCTGCAGTGAGTGTCCAGGATGTGTAGATTTCAGTCAACCAGATATGCTAATATGGTCTAGTTGCTAGGGAAGTCCTGAGCCACAGGCCTTATTAATTTAAGAAGTATCCAGTTTCCTTGACAATGCATGACCATCATAAGGCTCTGCAATTCTAAATCTTTACCACATAATGGAATGGAAGGTAGTAGGATACATTAAAGGCTGTTAGGAGATTCCTATTGATCCTATAGACCTCTGTTACCAAATCCAACTTTTGGGTTGTCACCAGAACAGAAATATAGGGAAACTCTTCCAATGGAGACACTTGTTCCAGTGAACAACTGTTAAAGTGGGGATTTTGCTCACTTTAAAGAGACTTCCTCTCATTTATTGTTCCATCTATATGACAAGTGAAGGGAAATTCCCCACGTGGGACAGGGATTACAAAATAAAAATCTGGCAAAGTTTTTAACCATTTCCTACTGTATCCAAAATGAAGAAAAACATTTGACTTTAGATAGTCTTTAGTTTTTGTAGGACCAAATCAGCTCATTCAATTTCTTAATTATCTACAATACATTATACTCAGTATACATTGAAAATAAGCTAACATATACATACAGCACTTTAAATGCAAACCAGTTACACTCATGTGTAAAATGGTATACCTTTATTTAGTCTCTTATCTGAAGCTTTACCTCATCTGCCAATAGTAACAGAGGCCAGCAGAAAAAAAACTGTATTTCACCTATATGTCATCTTTATTAAATAAAAATATAAACATAATCTGTTTTGATTAAAATCTTTCAGTTCTGCTCTTCCATGGTGGTAAACAAGCTGGTGAGAAAGTGTTTGTGACCAATGGTCTTGAAGAAAATTTTGAAAATGCCCAGAAGACATGTAAAGAAGCTGGAGGACACTTAGCTATGCCAAGAAATGCAGCAGAAAATAGTGCTGCTCAAGAGATTCTTCACACTAAGGGAGAGACAATCAAAGCTTTCTTGGGTATATCAGATTTACAGGTTGAAGGGATGTTCAAGTACTTGACAGGAGAGAAGTTGGCATTTACTAACTGGAACTTAGGAGAGCCAAATAACAGTAAAGACAATGAAGACTGTGTAGAGATCCAGGACAATGGGAAATGGAATGACATTCCATGCAATTTACTGCGACTAGTTATCTGTGAATTTCAATAAAACTACTTTAAACTTTGGCAGAAAAAATTAATTTTATGTGTGGATACTTTAAAAAATTTCACTATATGTAAAGTAAGTGTATGAAACGAAGAAACATCAAAGTAATTTTTTTCAAGTATTTTTATTGAAATATTTTAATACAATACAAAACAGTATATATCAGTGCGGTTCACAACTGGGTACATACATACTTCAAATGGAAAGAAGAAAATTCCGCACCAATTGGCTGGGGATATATGGGCAAATATCAAGCGTCTCAGAAGATGTTGTTTTTGTTTAGTGTGAACCCATTATGTGTGAAATATTGTAAAAGGTGGAGCGGGACAGGGTAGGGGGGGGGGAGGGGAGGGAGAGGAAGGGGGGGGGACACCAGTCTAGGACAAAGGGGTCTCAGTTTTACAAATTTATGTATATATTATCATCTTATAGAGCAGTTGGGGTTTTGTAGCCATCGAGACCATTGGGTATTGAATTTGTGATGGGATGAGTTATTGAGGGCCGATCTTCTTTCCATATCGCATTGGAAATTCAGATCCGCTATAAGGGCAGAGAGAGAAGGAGTTTGTGGAAGATTTCCATAGCTTAGTGATGTTAAGTTTTGCGGCTGCTAATATGTGGATAATGATGGTACGGGATTTGGAATTAAATTGTCGATTCCTATATGGAGAAGTGCGAGAGCAGGATATAGGAGCCACTTGGGCTCCATCAACTGAGGAGATCAAGTGGAAGATACTGTTCCAGTATGATCTTAGAGATTTGCAGATCCAAAGTATATGCAGAGTTGATCCTATTTCTCCGCATTGTCTCCAGCAAGCGGATGAGTGGTGGGGATAATATAAAGAGAGTTTGACAGGTGTAAAATACCACTGGTGTAAAATTTTCATGTACGATTCCCAGTGGGAGCTACATCTAGATGCTTTATGTGTGATGTTAAAGGTGTTTTCCCATGAGTGGGGTTGGATTGATTGTGAGAGAATTTTCTCCCAGTTGGATAGAGAGGTGGATTGTAGGATAAACAGAGACCTGGATATAAGCATGTAAAAGGTTGAAATTCCTTTCTTAGGGTATTGCGCTTTATTAAGGAAGGACATTCGTCTCTTGTAAGGAGTGAGCTATCCTCAAGTATGTGAAGATTTCACTGTCAGGTAGGTGAAACTTCTCTTGGATGATCGGGAAGGAGTTTATTGTGTGGTTTGTATAAAGGTCTTGTATATAGAATATACCTTGATTTTCCCAATGTAAGAGGTTCAAAGAAGGGGTAAGAAAGTGTAGCACGGTGATCGGGGTCGGTATTGGTTTTGATTCTGGTGAGTTACATAATAAGAGGTCATACCAGGCTTGTAAGGAGGCTCGGATGCAAGGGTGTTTGGGTAGATTTCTGGGTTTAGAAGGGTGTGGTAGGAACAGAATGTCACGTAGCAGTGACGGAAGGTGGGGAAGTGTTTCCATAGTGGTCCACGTTTTTTCGATAGTTGGGTGCCACCAATAGTAGAGTTGGTCTATATGTATGGCATTATAGTACGATTTTAAGTGTGGAAGGCCTGCCCCTCCTCTAGAAGTTGGGCGTATAAGGAGGTTTGTTGTACATCTGGGTTTCTTTGAGTTCCAGAGGAATTTAGCAAGTATTGCTTGTAGTTTGGAGAAGAAAGCGTTAGGGACAGGGTATAGGAAGTGTGCGAAAGATATAAAGGATTTTGGGCAGTATGCACATTTTTAGAGCAGCTACTCTTCCCAATTTCGATAATGTGGACGTGCGTAGGTTTTTAAGTTCTTGAGGGATGGATTCGAGTAGTCGTTTATGATTTGAGAAGTAAAGTTGGTCTGTCCAGGTGGTGAGTTTAATTCCCAGATAAGGGATGCTGTGTTGTTCCCATGAGAAGGGAAAGCGTTGGAGGAGTATTTTCTGGAGCTTAGTAGGTATATTAAGATTTAGGACAGAGGATTTGGGGGCATTGAGTTTGTAGTACGATACTTCTGAATATTTTTAAAGATGTGTTTGGATCGTTTGGAGTGATTTGTGTGGATTGGTAATCATTAATATTATGTCATCTGCGAATAGGCTAATTTTGTGTTCTCTTTTGAGATGGGTGATCCCTGCGAATGCTGGGTCTTCTCTGAGTTTTGAGGCTAATAGTTCAATAAGTAGGGTGAAAATTATGGGGGATAGGGGGCAGCCTTGTCTGGTACCATTGGAGATGTGGAAAATTTGTGATAGTGTACTGTTGGTTAGTACTCTCGCTGAAGGGTTGGAATAAAGGGCAAGGATTGCCAACAGCATCCAGTCTGTGATTCCAAACTTTTGAAGCGTGAGTTTCATAAAGTGCCAGTGTGTTCGGTCAAATGCTTTCTCAGCATTTAGGGATAAAAGTAGGGAGGGTTGTTTAGTGGTTTCTAATGTATGTAGAAAAGAAATGAGTCTCCTCCTTGCATCAGGCGCTTGGCGACCAGGAACGAATCCTACTTGGTCTGGGTGGATTAGGGTGGGTAGGTGGGGAATCAATCTTTGAGCTATTAATTTGGCGTAAAGTTTTATATCTGTATTAAGTAGCGAAATCGGTCTGTAGTTTTGAACAAGTTGGGGGTATTTGCCTGGTTTTGGGATAGTTGTGATTATGGATTGTAGCATTTCTTTACTGAGTGTACCTGTAGATGCGGCATGGTTAAAAAAAGCGGTTAGGTGTGGTGTAAGGTTAGGGGCAAATATTTTATAAAATTTGTTTGTGAAGCCATCATTCCATGGAAATTTATTAAGGGGTAAAGTTTTTTATAGTTTTCTCTATCTCTATGGGAGAGAATGGGATAGATATAGAGGTGAGTTGTGACGGAGTAAGATGGGGTAAATTAGTGGTAGTTAAGAAGTTTTGTATGGACGATGTCGTTGGTTGGGGTGTATCTGGGTCATCTTTGATATTGTACAAGGTTTGGAAGTAAGTTGCAAAGGCGTCAGTGTGGGTATTTGGGTGTACAATTGAGGAGATTTTAGATTTGAGGCGTCTTTGTTTGATTATTTTTGTTAGAAGTGAATTTGCTTTATTAACTAGAGAGTAAAATTGTTATTTTGTTTTTTGGAGGTTGAGGTCATATTTATATAGAAGGGTTCTGAGCTGGTTTCTATCTGAGGTGAGGATGCAGATATGGAGGTATTGGGGTTTTGTTTGTTAATTTCCTCATTTAGTTTTATGGAAGCTAAAAGTTGGTTAATTTGTTGTGATCTCTGTTTATTTATTCGGGCGTTGAGTTGTATGAGAATACCCCGCATGTAGGCTTTGTAAGCAGGCCAAAGTGTGGTTATAGAAATATCAGGTGTAGTGTTCAGGTCAAAAAATGTATGAGCTTCTAATAAATGTTTTTGATTCTCTGGGTTCTTCAATATAGTAAAATTCAATCTCCAGATGGGGGGAAGTGCTGAGCGTTGAGAGTCGTCCAGGATTATGTTGATTGGACCGTGGTCTGACCATCTGATGGTGCCGATGTTAGATGATGTTATACTGTATGTTGCAGAGTCCATTTATCTGTAATAAAGAAATCAATTCTGGAGTAGGATAGATGAGAAGGGGAGTAGTAGGTGTAGTCTTTTTCGGTACTGTGCTGCCATCTCCAGATGTCGTAGAGGTTGTGATCATGTAGGAAGCGATTGAAATTCTGTTTGAGGGATCTTTTGCTGGAGGATGAGTCCAGGAGTGGGTTGCCGATGACGTTGAAGTCTCCACCGATGATAAGTCTGCCGTGTTTTTGGGAAGAGGTAATGGTGTGGAGTTTACGATGAAATTGGGTTTGATTGTTGTTTGGACCATAAACATTAACTAGAGTGTAGAGGGTGTCGTTAAATTTGCAAATCAAGATGTGATAGTGACCTTGAGGGTTAGCTACTTCTGATATATAACGGAACTGTATAGTGTCTTTCATGGCTGTAAGAATGCCATTATGTTTCTTAGGGTTGGTGGCCATGTAGAAGTGGGAAAATCGATGTAATTGTAGTTTGGGGATCTTGGATGTTGTGAAATGTGTTCCCTGTATAAAAAGGATGTCTGCATGAAATGTCCGAGTTTCCTTTTGGAGCATCGATCTTTTGAAAGGGGAGTTTAAGCCACAAACATTTAAAGATGTTATGTTAATCATAATGTGGGTCCGTGGTACGGTTTGAGAAGTAGTAGAGTTGGTGTTTGAGGCGTTGATCAAGGTTGAACAGATACGGGTGCGATGAGGAGAATTTTGTAGTCTGGGCAGTGCGGAAATGGCTTGATCAGAGAGTCAGAAGCTGTGTTCCAAGTTCATTCGGAAGACTTAAGCGAAGTGTTGAAGTGTTTGGTTGACTGGTGGTGTGGGAAAAGAGGGATGTGAACAGGGGTAAAAAAAAGCTTGCGTAAAATGCAAGAAACATGAGTAGCTTGGTATGCTACTTCAAAACTGGGAGGTGTGCACAAGCATTGACCATAGACAAGGTCATGCCAAACAGTGTTTTGTAACAAGAAAATTTTAAATCGGGCAGATCGCCAGATCTTAATTGGATAGAAGGGGATATAGTGGGTAGAGCATCAGAGATGTGGAATTTGGAGCGGATAAGAGGTATAATGTGCCAAGATTATTCTGCTTCCATCTGTTGTGTAGTAGAAGAGGTGGATTGTTGGGTATCTGCAGGTAATATGTGCGAAGTCTTCAGTAGATCTATGCCCGCATCTAGGTTTCTAATTGTGTAAATTCTGCCCTGGTTTCTGACCGTAATTTTTGTGGGGAAGCCCCATTGGTAAGCAATGCCATGGTTCCGTAAGGCCTTGGTGATGGTAACCAATTTTTTTCGGTTAAGAAGCGTAGCTTTAGATAGATCCATGTATAGTTTGATGTTAGCATGTGATGATGGTAATGGAGGGGGGTTTCTAGCTGCCGCCATTATCTTCTCTTTTATGTGATAGAAATGAATACGCGCCAAAACATCCCTAGGGATTGATGCTGACAGGAAAGACGGTTTTAGGATTCTGTGAGCACGGTCGATGGCAAGCTCA